CCCCCGCAGAAGGCTCCTGGAAAATCGCATTTGTTTTGCATTTAGGCCAGTCTTTCCAGCTGCAAGGGCTGTTTAAGCTTGGAGAGCTGGTTCTCCCGGGCAGCAATCAGGAGCTCATCTGTGGACTGAGGTTTGTCTCAGGTGGCGGTCTCCTGCTGAGGTATAACAATGTAGCAGGCCCAGGTCTCCCGGGGACAGGAACGGAGAGTTTTCTGGGTTTGGGAATGTGAATGTGAGTGTGGAGAATGAGCAACAGCATTCTCCTTCCTGGAAGAGCCAGGAGGGAACAGGGTGGCACCCACACTTGGGGCCGGGCCTGTGTCCTTGCTGTCACTGTCGCCATGCGGATGGCCACACCTGGAGCCTGCCAGGGATTGCCTGCGGCAGGCTCCGAGGATGACAAGCTGGCCATCCCCTCTGGAGGAGGAATGTGGGGGGTTTGGCTGATGAGGGTACACTGGAAAGTGTCACAGGGTGTTGAACCTTTGTTTTCATCATTTGCTTACTTGGAATTATTTTCACCACGTTAAGAAACACGAGACCCAGGGCTTTTAGGACTCTTCAGCATCCTGGTTCAGGAGAGGAGGCTTATTTCTCTCTCCCCCCACCCTTTTCTCACAAAGAGATTCCCTGCCCCCATCCACCTTGATTCCTTTTTAAAGAAGAGGGGTTTAGGAGGGAGGCAGCCAACATGTAGATGGAATTTTCTACATAACTTTTGACTAGGATGAGTTAGAATTTTCAAATTTGTGTCTCCCGTCCTCCCTTTTTTCTTCCCTTGAAATGCTTTCTTGGGTCTGTCTTCTGTTGGGTTTGAATAACCTCCCTCATCTCCTTGCTAGAACTCCCCATCTAGCTGTTCACAGCTGGAGCAGAGGTTGTCCTGATGTGGGACCCCAGGACGGTTGCCAGTGCAAGGGAAACCGGAAGTATCTGGAAAAGATTTGGGGTTGCTCCCTCCTCATTCCCCTAACATCTCTTCCTAATCAGTACAGCAACCACATCTGCAGTAAACATTGAGGAAATCTACACCTGTGTGTTAATTATATTCGAGGGATGATCTTTAACCGAGGCATGGTTAAATAATTAACTTTTTTCACTTTTACATCCAGTAAAATTTACTCTGGTGTGTAGTTTTATGGGTTTTGACAAGCGTATAGCGCTGTGTATCCACCACCACTATCCACAGGGAATGTTTCCATCACCCCCGGAACTTTCCTCCTGCTGTACATCGGTAGGCAGATTCTTCCCACCGCAACCCTTGGCAACCACGATGTGTTCTGTCCCTATATTTGGTCTTCTCCAGAATGCCATACAAATGGCTTCTTTTCACTTAGCAAAGTGCATTTGAGATCCATCCATGTTGTCGCGTGTATCCGTACTGTCCGTTTCTCTGTTGCCAAGCTGTAGACCCCTATATGGACATACCACAGTTTGTTTATCCATTTCCCCAGGACGCTTGGGTTGCTTCTCCCTGTGCGTGCTTGCGAGGAAAGCTGCTGTACACATTTGCTTACCGGCTTTTGTCTGAATGTAAGTTTTTATGTCTCTGCCCTCAGTACTTTGGGAGAAGTGGCATGGCAGGGTCATACGGTCAGTACGTAAGAATTAGAAGTCCGAATGAAAGCACCTTCAGCTCTTCTTCGCAGCCAGGAGCGCAGTCTGGCCTTGTCAGCTGCAGTTAAGACTTCCCAAGTAAGAGATTGCAGGGAGCATTATCTGAAGACACCCGAGAGATGATTATGATAATGGACCACTCACTAACGGGATGACATGCTTTATAACCCAGAACTAATCGGAATTAGCCAAAAGTGGGAACAGAAGACTGCCAGTGGTAAAATATCCTTTATTTCCTACAGCAATTATTTCTCATCTCTTCAGAAACATTTGGCAGTTTAATTTTTACATTTGTCTTCAGGTTCAATACCACGCCAAATGATAACAGAATCACAATTTTGGAAAGTGGTACCGAAGACCTTTGTTGAAATCTGAGTTGCGTAAACAACGTACTATTAATTATAATTCGTCTGATTTTTTGACTGCCAAAATATGGGTGTTGTTTTAGTATCTGAAGTTACTGTTCAGGTTTGAAGCCTTTTAAGGAAATGAAAATATTTAAGCAGAATCTAGGCAATGAAGTAGGGAGATTTGGGGAGCTTTTTTTTATTTCAATTTTTTTTTTATTTTAACTTTTTAAAAAATTTTTTTAGAGGATAAAATAGCGTTTAGGAATGGGAAGAACAAACAGACCAAGGTTATGGTGCGGTACAGAGGAGAGCCCGAGAAGTGGGAAGTGATCTTAATTTGGGGATTATTTCATCCATTTTGCAGGTACTGAATGTTTCCTAAGCACCAGACATTGTGCTAGGCACTGGGAGTACCAAGAGAAAAGGAATCCAGAGAGAACACTCTAGTGGGAAGTTAGCCTACAGATGCTATGATAGGAATGTGAATGGGCTCCCTAATGCCCATGTCCAGAGGGAGGAGCCCTTGAGGAGGTGGCTTTTGTGCTGAACCGTGCAAGACACTAAGAGTAGGAACAGCTAGCTGAGAGTAGGGGAAGAGCGCCAGTCCGATGGGGCAGTTTATGGAAAGGCACTGAGCAAGCCTGGTGTTGTGAGCGGGGCCGGGAGAGTGGGGCCTGGAGAGCGGGGCCGGGAGAACTGGGCGGGTGTGGGAGAGTAGGAGATGACATCAGGAGGCAGTCAAGGGCTAGACTTCTGAAGATCATTCTGTACAGTGCGCTCAAGTGGGGACTTCCTTGTGTAGGCGGTAGAAGCAGAAAGCCTTACTTGAAATGACAGAGGTCTTGCGGCAGTGTCTGAGGGGGGGAATGGAGACTCTCCAGGCTGGAGGCAGGGAGGTCACATGAGGGGACCACCGTAGCAAATCCAGGAGAGAAGAGGGCCTGAGCCCAGGCGTTGCAGTGGGATGGAGTGGTAGGTGGGGCAGGTGTGTGTACCCGATGAGAAGGGGGGTTGGTAGAGAGGGAGGAGCTGAGGACGGTGCCAAGTTTGCTCCTTGAGGTTACTTGCCGCTGGTGGTTTTTTTCTGTGAAATACTACATTCAGAAGGCAGAATAGATTGGGAGGGTGGACGTGAAGGGGCTCCACACAGTGAGTTCACGTTTGGGTTGAGTTGTCCTTGGAGGTGTCCTT